GGGGGGGGGTCCCTATTCTACGTAATTACTACAAATTGCTTTAATTATATAACTAATGTTTTTTTACGCAATTGTAACCAATTGATAAGCATTTTTCTGTAAATAATAGCGAATAAAAATATGTAATTTGACGGAACAGAACAAATTGTATTAATATTATGTTTATTACGCGATATATGTACTGCCAAAATATTGTGACTATAAGTACCTATTATAATACCATTCATCTTCTATATGCTACCAAATCCTTTTAGCTAGCTACCAAAACCTTTATTATTCTATCAGGTATGAATTCTACAGGATTAGCTCTGAATGTATCTATTGGAATCTGCTGTCAAAATATTAACAGCATTTTCTTTAACTATTTAATTATTGATGACGAGGTACTCTCCTTTATGGTAACAGTCTTTTATGGCAGTTGAATCTATCAGCATGACAATGTGCCTTGCTACACTGTACGGTTTTTTAATAATAGTTTGAGAAATTATATAAGAAAAACTGTATAAGGCACATTTGGTAGTTTTGTTCTGGTCACCAAATTCACTCTATCTGGAACCTATTGAGTATTTGTAGAATTTGTTGAACAAACAAATTCGTTCTTCATATCTCCTACTTCATAACTTACAGTTAAAACAGCTGCTATTAACGTCTTGGTAACAGATGTCAGTAAATATATTTAAAGGTCTTGTAGCAAGCTTATAATAAGAGCGGTTTTGACAGCACATGGAAGATCAACACAATATTACGTAAGTAATCATAATGTTTTGGCTCAATGTAAAAGAAAACTATTACGAAGATATATAAAACAATGTTGAAACCTAATAATGTAAATAAAAATTTAGAAAGATTTATAATGTATCCATATTATTCTCTCTATATGTATAGTCCCATATTATTCTATATAGATTTTATTGAGTTGTATTTGTTGTGACAAAAGGAATAGGTACAAAATCATTATTAGAGAAATAAAATTAATAATTTTACCAGATGTACTTCACCGAATGTTGTTTGGTAGAAATGACTATGGAAATACGAATATATGAATACATATATATGATCACTTTTCACACTTTTCTGACAAGATAGTTTCTGCGGAAATTTATTCGTAAGTTCGGTGAACTAATAAGATAATATGGCAGTATGGTACTATTAATAATTTACAGTAATATCCGATAAGAATCGAATAGTCGTACATCTATAGTAATTTAGCAAAATTTAGTTTGTAACAACTGAACGAAGTAGTTTTGATGGAGCGATTATTCGAGTTGTTCCAGAATGACGGATAAACGATGGAACCACTGTAACCAGATTGGGGACTTTCTCTTAAATTGCTTTCTTTCCACCGATTTTTTAAAGCTACAAAAAATTTAAAAGAATTTTGGAAGACTTTTTCGGAGAAAAAAATCCAAATTACGGCTGAAGTATTAAGAAAATTTCAATACATAAGGACAACAGACCTGGCACCACTGGGTGGAACGATAACATTGTTTTCTACTCATATACTATTCCTAAGGCCCAGTTCCACAACTCACGGTTAACTCTTAACCGAGGTTCAACTTATTCATTGTCTCTTT